TCTTTACCATGTTTCCAAAAATAATGGAAGTCATAGCTTGGAGTTTTCTGAGATAGGAGTTTTGAAAATGTATATACACACAGCTTTGGAATAATACCCTTCCTTGATTTCATCTATAAAAGTGGTATGCTTGAAGATCCACTTCAGATTTTATAGTGTTAACATGCCATGTAATTAGTTATTTCAGTAAGTGCAGAAGTGCTAATAAATGCATTTTTTTTACATTCTTATTAAAGGCAATGACTTACAAGTCTGCTTTAATTAGCCAATATATATGAAAATGAATCATGTATGTACTAATTTTTGTAACTGACGTGCAGTTATCAGGAATGTTTTCCCTAATGCATACGGTCACATATAAAATAGTCATTAACTTAGTCTATCTATTAAACTTTTTTTTTCTGAGTAGGTAATTATTTGTCCTTTATTACATTCTATTATTAATCTGACTAGAACATTTTTAATCCTAATGGCTTCGGGCAATAAACAATATGAGTTGAAATTAAGATAATATTAAGTTAAGTAGGATGATGGTGATGTAGCCAAAGAAATAATAAATCACTTATGAAATAATTTGCTGTCTTCTGTAGCTATTATAAAACATAGATAATACAGTAACCTGAATCTAGCTTGTTAGTTGGTTATAATCCTAAACAGAGATATGTCTACATTGAATGAAATAACTAACCAGTTCAGTGGAATCAAATATATATTGTGATTTAGATTTCCACACAAAACAGTGATCTAAACATCACGCAAAACTAACTGATAGATTGATTATACCAACTTTCCACTAATGAATATCAGAAGAAAAATAATGGATTATAACATTTGAGGCTGCAAGGGTTCATATTTCTGAATCCCTAGGATTGTGAAAAAGGTTCCCTATATTATTGTTTTATATTATTAATGTTGTTCCCTATATAATATGTATTTATTTAGAAAACTTATATAGAGCTTATGGAACTTATAAGAATCCTGTTAGAAAGTTCAAAGAGGTGTGTTTTGAAGTCTTCACTCCTGGTAATCATTAGCTCTTGGCTGTAGAGAGTAGGGAAGATGACCTTGATGAAGATATGCAAGCTCCATTGGCAAGGCAACAAGGAGTAAAACTTTTTTTAAGTCCTGAATGTCCAGATAATGTTTGGAGCTATACGAAGCTTTAAAAGGCTTTTGGTGGCTATTATCTTAAAAGGGTATACAGATTCCTAATTGAACAGCTATATTATCCGGGATTTACTCTGTAGTAAAATATATGACCTTCATTATACTTTGTACTCAGTTTAATCTTTTGCTTTCCAGATTTACCCCAATGAAATGTCATTTAAGTTAGGCCTTAATAAATGAATGAAATGCTTGAAATTGAAATTATATTGGACTTCTTTGAAGTGGCAGATTTTACATGCACCTGCACACACATATAACCTACCTACCCCTACCTGCAATATGAAGTTACAAAGCAGTTCCGTTCAGAATTTTATTGCTTTATTTTGTACAGTGTGGCAGCTCTGAATCAGCATTAGTTGTGCAGGAGAAAGGAAGCATTATGTATGGATCTCCTTTGACAGCTTGACATAGATAACTTGAGCCAGTGTAATAAACTTGGAATGCATATAACCATTGTACATATTTATTTATGCAACAGCTCTCCGTTTTTGTGAAGGCACTTGAAAAATACAGATCTTGGCATTACCACTCAAAGAAAATGTCAGTGGAAATAAGCAATGAATTCTGCCCAACTCCTAATACTTTGTGCCACTGGGAGAGGTAGTTGTGTATAGAAGTGGCTCCCTAGTACCACACTCATAGAGTTGTGCATGTGAGTATAGTAGGTCAGCCCAGAAAAAAAAAATCAGGTGTCTTGGGGAACTAACAAAGACTTTGATACCTTTGTTATCTATGCTCCAAACAACTCATTGTTGAGTAGCTATTCACATTTTATGACTTACCTCTGTTGCCTTCTGGAAGTTGACCACTGCTTTAGCCACATCACCAGCTTCTGGTCTTGCTGATATTTATCTGCTTACCTAGGACTCCTACTACCACCCTTTCTTGGACTGTGTTGTCTGCCTCTGGATATTTGGGCTTGCTATTATTTTTTTCCCTATGTCTGAGGCATTTTCACAAAATACTTTCTTGACTTGGGCTCAAGTTTTGAGTATCTGACTATTGCCTTGGTAGTGGACCTTCCCCCTGTTCTTCAAAGCCATCCTCTTTGTTCACTACATTGTATACCTCAAAATCCTGCTGATTCATCTGCAGTAGAGGATACACAGATTATGAATGTTTAGTTCCTTCAATAACAGACCCTTGTGCAGCACTCTCTGAAACCCCTTGTTCCCATCTGGCATGAACCCCTTAGTCACCTAGATTCCCAGAATATAAATGCTTCAAACAAGGTGTAGGACTGCCTTCCACAAGCTGGATCCTCAGCCAGCATGTCCATTGCTAAGAATGTTGTGATTTGAAACTCATACATCTAGAAAAGATGTGCTAGGGTGATACCCAAACCATGTGTAAGAATCAGCGTGGCTGATGGCCTCAGTACAGGGGTCTAGCAGTGTAGACCCTGGCAAGAAAGGTTACATGCAAGCAGACAATGAATGGATGTCTTCCAGATGATATAATGCTAACTTGACAGCCAGAACTGGTTTTTGCTGATTAAATTAATAAATTGCTTGGCAACTCTTTGCCTGACTTCACTGAACAATAACATCTGGCAGCTTTCTTCCTAGGGGACACTAGTCCAATCTGTTTTTTTTTTTAACCCTCTTTTTTTTGGGGGGGGGGGCAAATGCCCTCAAGGTATCAAGCCACACAGTATTGAAATGATTCTGAACTGGGATTAGCACAGACTGACCAAAGTTCATTTCAGTTTTTATGAGCTCAGGTTTTAGACATAAGTTGTTCCATCCTACTTCTAGATCACTTTTTACAAATTTAGTAGAAGTTTCTTTTAGAAGGATTTTATACATAAATTCTCATGACTATTCTTCAGTGGATATACTTTTGTATGTGTTTTTCAAAATAATTGAAACTGTATCACAAAATGTGGAAAAACGTAAACATTAAAGATAATTCTGCACCCAGCCCTAGTAACCAGGACTTTTCTGATCTCAAAAAGATGTGGTATCAGCTAATCATTATGTCCAAAACCTAACAGACGATTTATCCTTTCCTTTAAATTCAAGTTTCAATGCCTCCAGAGATTCACTGCAGCAAGTTGTAAATGATGTATGAAATAAAAAAGAAATCTCCAGTAGATAATAATGGGGGGAGGGGGGACTGACTACCCACTGCTTTTTTTTTCTTTCAAAGATTTATAATGTTATGAGTAAAATGAACCCCCTCAGGAATGGAAAAAAAGAATTTAATAAGTATATGGGAAAAAGACTTAAAGGAAGTAATAACAAAAGAGTACTAGGCTAAATCACTTACTATAATGGAATTGTCAATAATAAAATGAAATTATGAATTGTAGTACTGTTTTACATTTAGGTTTTATTAACAGAAGAAATGTCTGAAGAGAGTTGATGAAGTAAACTGGAAATTCATGAATCACTATTTCATTATTTTTGAGCAAGTAAGTACCCCTGGAACTTGGTATGAAAAGAAATACCAAAATACCAGAATTTCTAATCTATCACTATGAGTGCATAAATACTTGCTGAAAATGGGTGGTGCGGGTCTTTATTGTCACTTCTGTTTAGTATTTATGTACAAGACAACCATTCCCCTGAAGACATTAAAAATATGCATATGGAAAATGTCTCTTCCTTAAGGGAACTATGTCTATTCCCTTTCCCTCCTCACCCCTGGAATATGTAGAAATGTAGAGGAGAATTGCCCTGTTAGCTATTTTTAACAGTTAATTTATTAACAGATGAGTGTTCATGATTCAAGACCTTCTGCCTGGACATTCACTGGAATGAATGAATGAATGAATGAATGAATGAATGAATGAATGAATGAATGAATAGGTAGCCATTCTATCTGCTTGATGAGGCACCTGAATAAAGGTCTGTAATTTCCTGGCATGCAGAAGAGAGTGCTGCATCTTTCTTTGGTGACAAGTGGTGGTATCGTGTTCCCAAGTATGTGCTATCTCAGATCATCCTAATAGGGTGAAAAAAATTATCCTGCTACAAGTCAGGAGATATAAGCATGAATGGATTATTGTAGGCAAGGGAAGATGTGGGAGACGGAGTTAGAATTAAGGGAAAGTCAAATCAGGTTTAATCTACATTTATGTTCTGAGGGAAGAAAACAAAGTCCTGGGTATTTTTTCAGCAACTTTCTGTCATGTGCCAAATAAAAGACTTCCTTGTAGTGGGGAGGCATATTCTGAAGAAATAGCCATCAATGGAAAAGTCAAGGAAAGTTATGCCTAATAAACTAATAGGAAAACAGCTTGAGGACCACAAATAGAAATCACCAAAAACACCCTCTGAAAAATCCAGGATAATAAAAAGAGGACAGCTATACAACAGTTATGGTTCTCAGTGTATTTCAAAGAAACTATCAACAGGAATATATATTGATTCTTGATTTAAAATTGCTTGGGATTAGTTTACTATTACAGCTTAAGTGAGCTGTAGTAGAAAACTTCTCTCAAGTTGTCTTTATCAAGAGGTGTTAAACATTCCCTTGATAAAGTATTTCCTCAAAATACTGTATTGGATCCTGTGGATTAGAACAGATTTATTTACCACTGCATTTTTAAAAAAAATAATAACAGTGTACCATGTAAACAATTATCTCTCAAACACTTCAATTGATCAGATAGGAGTGGACATTCTTCTTGGTTTAGGCAAGTAGTGTGATTTTTGTAGAATTTCCACTGTCAAATTTATCAGACCAATCTTTGTATAGGATGAGAAATAGTATTAACTAGAGATGTTATCACTCATGAGCAGTTCTGCAGAGATAACAAGCAATGTGTCAAGAACAGATAACATTTCTCTTTTTAGTACTGCTTTATTTTTTTACTTCATACTCACAGTTTTGCAGATCTGGTGATCAGTGTGTTGAATCAATAAACATGGATTCTACAACCTCTTTAGCTGTAATATAGATTGTCTTCATGCCACCAAAAATGGCACTTGCACTCTCTCTTAAATGAAAGTAAAATTAAAAAATAGTTTAAAATTCATGAGATTTTTTTTTTAATCTTACAAGATTTTGGATGACATCACCAAAATCTCACAAAACTTTATAATCCTATGAAATCCTTAGCGATTTGAGGGTACAATTGTAGTCATGAAACATTACAAATCCCTATTTACAGTGAAGTGTGGATTTGCTGATATCATCTAGCTCTATTTTGTCTTCTCAGATTCATGTGCGTTTAAGGAAGATCTAAATTAACATCTGCAATCAGTAATGACCTGCAGAAGATCCAATACATTGTAACAGATAAGATCGGGGTCCCATTAATAGGTGATTCTTATGAGCCAAAGTGTTGCTCAACCTATTGTAAATTAGGCTTTGGTCCTACCCACCCAAAGGACAGTGCTGTATATTTAGGGGTGCAAGTAGACCCAACATTATTCTAGAGGCCCAAGTAACACCTGTGTAACATAACATAATCATTTGGTGCATCAATTGTGATCTCTCCTACAGAGAGAGCAATACTATCTATTATCTGGTAACCTAAAATTATGATTGCCATGTATTGTGCATTAAGTTGCCTTAGATGACCTATTGGAAACTTCTATTTATTCAAAATAGCTATTTATTAGCTGCAAGGTTACTAATAGAGGCTGGCTATAGTGAAATGGGCATGAATTCTTAAATAGCAACACAGCCGCCAGCCCATTTTTAGGCATATTTCAAAGCATTACCTATAATGCCCTAAATGATTTGGAATCTATCTATCTGTCCAAACAACTATTTGTACTACATACTGTCTCTGCTTGAACCATTTGTCTGAGACTTGTCCCAACTATTATATCCAAATTAAAGAAATTGTCCAAATGCAATGTATCTGGAACATGGACAACTTTGGGCACAATATTCTTAATGTAGAAGAAAATCTAGATAATACTACAATTGTCTACATTCAGCCAATTAACAACAGTTTAATAATTGTTTGAATTCCTATTTTTCTTTTAGTTCCCCCCTCCTCCAATACTGCATATTATATTCTACTTATATTTAAGAAATAACATCAGTTTGGTGCTTTCTGCTTTGGATTTCTTTTTATTTATTTGCCTGTTCTTGTTTTATGCTGGCCATCAACCATAACATTTCATTGGTTGGATTCATATGGTGCCTTCCTTCCTTCCTTCCTTCCTTCCTTCCTTCCTTCCT